GGTATGTGTTTTATATGTTACATATGTTGATATAGTATGGTTGTGTTGAGGCAATATTGCTATGTACGGTAGCCAACAAACCTACGAGCAAGCCAGAAATAAGTTGTGGGCTGGAAAGGCAAGTCAAACTTATGATGTAGGCTCGGGAGCAATCCAGACATAAGTTATAGGCCACGTAGGCAAACCAAACTCATGTTGTGGGCACAGGGGTAATCTAATCTGATGACATTGGACCCAGTATACATGTTGTTATATGTTGTGTGGTGGTATTTAGGAGAACTCACTAATCTTTGGCTTACAGTTTGACTTTTATGGTTTCAGGTATTTTAGAGGACAATGGAAAGGCGAAGGATTGACCGTGTACATCATCGAGGATTTTATGTGTTTTGATGATTTTGGGATACTCAGATTCATGATAATGATCTTTGGGAACTTGTTTTGTAAATTTATGGATTATGGTATGGTTTTTAAAAATGAAAATGTTGCCTTCATTTTTAGGATGTTACAAATTGGTATTAGAGCCCTAGTTTGAGATAATTGGATGAGCATTTATGTAAATCTAGACTTAAACTAAGGATGTGCAAAATTTTCCAAATTGTTTTCAAAAAATAACCAAGGAGGGATGAGATGTGTACGACCAGTCGGTGCAAGAAAGTATTCTCCAAGATACCCATATTATTATTTGCTTATGATGATTATGATAGAATTTCATACTACTTGTAGGCTAGGGATCTTCAGTAATTGCATGTGTTAAGACCGTTGTCGTACAAGATTTAAACAAATAAAAATAATAAATAAACTAGGTTATTGCACTAACAGGTAGTACAGGTAAGCAGGGTCGGATCCTCAGGGACACGTCCTAATGTTTACACCTCTTTGCGTAAGGCGTGAACTAATTCTTAACGAATGCAATAAACATAAAAATGGGGGGGGGTGTTATTTCTGAAAATTGAACTAATAGAAATCGAAAATGACAAAAGAATAACTACATTTAAAGGGGTGAAAATTCAAATAAGAGAAAGCAATTCTAGTTTCGCGGTGACTCCCCTAATCATATATTTAACCTTCAACACAATATTTGACTATGCACTTGTTTAAACTGGTACCAAAGTTCATTAAAAAGCTCTGATGACCTCTATTTCAAAAATCATTTAATCAAAATAAGTTCTTTCAATTAAACCTAACTTTTTACTAAATTAATCAAACAAGTTGTTGATTAACAAAGAAAACTTGCATTAGACACAGTGTAATTCCCAGTAAAGTTCAATACCTCTCATAAGCTCGGAGGCGTTAAGACTTGTTTGATCATTCATATTAGAGTTAACCCTAAACTCGGAATTAATCTAATTCTTGTCACTTTTTTACCAACTAATCTATACAATTACGGATCTAAACAATTAGGTGATTAGATGATTCACAAACAATTTAAGTGGCCAACAGAAATTGAAATCAAAATCAAAATCAAACACTCAATTTAACACAACATTGATCAAACTAAACAGTAATCATAGTCAAACATAGTGCCTAATGATTAATCATACGAAAAAGTTACGTCTTGCGAAACTGAAATATGAAATTTTAGCCTGACATGGCTAAAAACGGATTAAAAACAGTAGAAATCGAATCTAAACGATAAATCTTACTAAACTACAAAAAGAAATTGAATTGTCTCTTTTAGATCTGCGCTCTTCACTTGAAACCTTCTAAAAATGCCTTAGAATAGCCAGGAATCGCCAATTGGGGTTACTGGATGAGTATAGAGTTGTATTTATACGTCTAGCTGTCAAATCGCCATAACTGTGATCGCATCTATCACCCAAAATGTATCACATGCCTTTTTAATGAAGTACGTTGCCATTTTGATGCAATTTGACCAACCTACGATCGCAAAGGAACAACCTACAATCACAAAGGCACAACCTGCGATCGCATGTACGTCTTTTTCTAGTTTGATCAATTTTTTGGCACGAAAAAACCACGAAGTGAAGCTCTGACCAAACCTGCGATCGCAAAGGCATACCTGCGATCATAGGGAGAAAAGGTGAGATCACATGTACTGCTTCACAACTCTTTTGTTCGTCGTCCCTCCTTCCAAGCAGTTCTTGATCATTTCCCGGCATCCTTCCTTGGTCTAGACTCTAGTTAAGCTCCAAAGCATCCTCAAAGGCATCCCGAATTCGCGTAATCATCCATGTGCTCCAAATAGCCCTGAAAAGTCATATCAAACATGATGAGTAAGGGCATTCTATAAAATAATCATGAAACACGAAATACATAAGAATAATCAGGAGTTACTTAACTTTTTATAATGAAATACGAAGGAAATTGTGCTAAAAGATGCATATAAAATGCATCTAACAAACCTCCCCAAGCTTAGACCTTACTTGCCCTCGAGTAAGGAAACGATAACTTTAGAAAAGTAATTGAGGCTAAGGGCAATAAAGGAATAACCTAGACACACATCAACTTGAGAACGAAAACCTAAATAATGAGAACTGCCAAAGCTAAACATAAAATATGCATGCAAAGATAAAGAAAATGAACAATGAAATAAAATAATATGCAAATGAGAAACGAACAACTAAAATGAAACATGCTTGCTTTTTTTAACTTTTTATATTATATTATATTATATTATGTTTTATATATATATATATATATATATATATATATATATATATATATATATATATTGCGATCAGACTTTACATCAATAATGGGCTCCAATCACTAACACAAAAGCAACCATCCTGCTATCTTTCATGTATCACATACTCTCAAAGTGAGGAAGACCACAAACGGTGTAACCCAATAATCCAACTCTACTTTTATTTAAACTTTATACCTTAATTAGCTTTATGAGCAAAAATAACACAGTCTGGATCTCATGTCCTTAAGACTAGATGGTCAAGAATCAAAATTGATGCATCCTTAAGAACCCGCATGACCAAATCAGCTTTTGCCGAAGCAGCAAGGGCCAACCCCTGTAGGAGCCCGAGCTCTATGCTTTCACTTTTTCGAGAGCCACAAATATCATATCACACAATTCTTTATTCACCAGATGTAACTTTAGAACGGCTTCTAAATTGATTGAACTTTGATTTGTACTTCGTTTGGAGCTTGAATTCTTCAATTGTTATATATATATATATATATATATATATATATATATATATATATATATATATATATATATATATATATATATATATATATATATATATATATATTTGGAATTTCTTAAAATTTCTTCAATTGAGAAGTTCTTGATTTGGGTACTAAATATAACGTTGTACCCTTTCTTCATTCTTGACTGTGTGGATCTGATACTTAAGTTCTCTGTTACCGCGAGGGGTAACACGTGTCAACAAATAGGGTCATGTTTTGTGGGTTCAGAGTTGCCGATAAAGATTCTTTTTAAACATTCAGAAGCAAATCATCCTAAAAATTGTTATTACCGCCCAAAAAACGTTTCGGTACACCATTTTTTATTATCCAAGGCCGGGGTCTCGAATTACGGTGTCTTGGGTGCCCTAGTTATGACAGTTGATTCTACACTTCCAATAACAATCATGTCGATTCTGATTTTTTCATTTTTGATTCTCAATATCCCACTTCATGGAGCTATCGTATGTAAAAAGTGTCATCATCTCGTATATTTTATTTTTTTATTTTTTATGCGAATGCAAAATGCAAAAATATTAAAATATTTTAGAAAAAAAAAACTAGGAAGAAATGAAATGAAAAATAAAAACATAAATGAAAATTCTTTTTGGATTTTTTTTAACATTTTAATTCTTTTGGATTTTTAAAATAAAAACTTTTTTACAAAAAGATAGGAAAACCCCTCCCCAAGCTTAAAATTAAGCATTGTCCCAATGCTTAGGGAGGAATGGAAGACGACTACTCTGACGGGGTTGCATAGTGACGGAAGAAATCGTCGCGGAAATAGGTGAAATCGTCATGTAAACCTAAGATCTCGTCAAGATAGTCAGTAACCTGAGAGCTATAAAGTTGATAATCTAGGCGAAGACCAGTCATGGTCTGCTGAAGAGAAGGAATATTCTGGCGAAGGTCAAGATAATGCTGGTAAGTGAAGGAGGAGTTGGGGTGAGGATGAGATGACTGGGTGGGTGGGGGCGGATCCTGAAAGTCAGTCTGCATGGGATCAGAATGGCTATAGGAGATCGGTGTGGCGTCTGTGTAATTTGGGTGCATAGTGGACGAAGATGGTTGATTAGAAGGGAGATGCGGGGCCTACTGTGACCTACGTAAGCGAAGATGTGGTGGAAGATTTGACGGAAGAAACAACACAGTCTCGCTCATGGGATCAGCGAGGGCGATTGTAACGCCCGTAGATCCAGGTTAGTCAATTAGAGACGTTAAGCGTCAAAAATGACTTTTTTATGGAAGATTATTTTGAAGGAATAATCTTAACTAAATTATAGGATATGTTACAAGGTTTCTGTGGAAGTTTACGCCGAAATCCGAGTTATAACGAAGAAGTTATGACCTGTGGAAGTTTCGCGACAAAATCGGCACGACACAACGCGACGTAAATAGTGAATTTACGTTACAGCGATATTTAGCCTTAGCAATCTAAACGAAAGTCGTAGATTTCGTTAAACCATTAGCGTGCATAAAAAGAACGTCCAAATCTGACTTCGTATGAGGAAGTTATGATTTTTCTAAGTTTCGACTTAGCGGTATGCAGCCCGAATACTCGATTTGAGACCGAGCGGTTTTTATCCGAAACAATCTAAATGAGAATTGAAGGTCTCGTTAATAGGAGTAAAACGATAAAAAGATAGGCCAAAACGGACGTCGGATAAAGAAGTTATGATTTTATAACGGAGTTTTCCTGTCCCGGCCTACTAAAAATAAATAATAAAAATAAAGTCAAAATTAGCCGACGGAGTCTAAACGAAAGTTGTAGAGCGTAGTCTCACCTACGCAGGGATATAAAGAATGTCAAAAACGGAGTTTGTATGAGGAAGATATGAATTTTTGAAGTTTATTAAATATTTTCGATATTTAATTTAATTATAAATTAACCGATATTATCCATGGGGGGAGTCAGCGATCTAATCCACGTTACGCCCAACGTAATGTGAATTTACGCCCAGCGTAAATGGGCTTCCAGCCCCCTATAAAAGGGTGTCGAGGGTAACCGACTTCTTTGCTCATTTCTTCCCGTTTTCTCGCGTTTTTGTATCGTTTTTCGTGCAAGAAATATCCTGAAGCCCCGGTATCATTCCCGAGCCCCGAAGCAAGTCCCGAGTCCCCGAAGATCTCGAGAAGTGCGATTCCCGAGCCAAAGCTCTGCCCGCGAGGAGCCCGATTTTTGTGAAGATCTTCCAGATCTACCGAAGAATACTACTTCTACAAGTCGTAGTGCTGTCCAATCATCTTCTAATCAAGAGAGTGTGTGGTTACTTTCTTCTAACGCATAATTATTAAGTATTTAATATAAAATACGTGTTATGTGTATATTTTGTTGTTATATGCGTGAATGTATATTCAATTTCTTCTATCTCATAGATCTGATTTATTCTCTATGAAATACGTGTTATGTGGGTGTGACTCATCTGTTATGTGGAATAGGTATTGAATGAGAATATTATATAGGTTTTAAATTATGTATAAAAATATATATTTTTATCTACTAATATGTTGGGTAGAACATGGGTAGATAGTTGATGTGTGATAAACAGAGGAGAGGTCCCGATGTTGTTGTTGTTGATCTAGTTATTCAGCGAGTATGGATTAGACCAAGAGGTTAGTTTTAGATCCGGGAGTATGGATCAGGTAAAGAGATAAAACTTGTTACTAGTCCGAGAGTATGGATTAAGACTAAGTTAATTGTCCCTAGTCCAGGAGTATGGATTGGGCACAGTTATTGATCCGGGAGTATGGATCAGATCAGGATTAGGGTATAGTTAATTGTCCTTATTCCTGGAGTATGGATTGGGTACAATTATTGATCTGCGAGTATGGATCAGATCAGGATGTTAGTTTTAGATCCGTGAGTATGGATCAGGGGAAAAGGTTAGTTTTAGATCCGTAAGTATAGATCAGGTGAAAAGGTTAGTTTTAGATCTGTGAGTATGGATCGGGTGAAGATAATAATTTTAGATCCGTGAGTAGGGATCAGGTAAAGAGGAAAATTTTAGATACGGGAGTTTAGATCGTGTCGTTGTGAGGATCGATGGGGTGGGATAAGAGTTGCCTTTATATGGTGAAATTGTACAAGTTTGAATGTTCTATATTTATAAATATATGATATAACATTGTGGGATGAAAACCCTATATGCTCACCAGGCTCCCAAGCCTCACCCACTCAGTTTTCTTTGTATCACAGGTATCGATATGAAGACATATTTCACAGAGAAATTTAAAGGAGATATAAATCATTAGTGTAATTGAATGTAAGTTCTTTTTATGCTTATATGTCTTTATCGGAACATGACATCCCGAGATTTTGTTATATAAGGAAAATACATTTCTTTAAAGAAATGATTTGATAATTTTATCATATTTTGTTTTGGGAACAAATTCCGCAACCGTTTTCTTTAAAAGATTACTCTGATTTTATAAAACAAAGCATAAACAAATCGGTCTTTTCTGGCCGTGAAAATGGGAATGTCACAGCGATGTCATTAGGACCAGTGACCTTGAAGTAAGTGGATCAGCCCTGCATCCAAACATAACCACCCGGGGCAGAACGTAACATGTGCATGGCCTGAAAGTTCTACAGAGTTAAACGGAAGGTTTCACCCGTAAAGAAGGTGTACTCCGGGGGAGACTGCTCTACGAGGGTGCGAGCAATGATGGTGATCAGACCACCACAAAGAATGGCACCGCCGGTGCGAAGGTTTAAAACTCTATGGAATCTTTTGATGATTAAGTCACCAAAATAAGGGCGGTACCATCTGGCGACCATGCACCATAAGATAAAAAGATCGGCTTTACCGGATTTCATAGTCTCAACCTGAGCGTAAATAATAATGCAAATAATTTTCAAAGCGATTTTTAGGATTGGATGGAGAATGCTAGTCTGAACAGATTGGGATGGATCATAAAAGTACAAACTGATAATGGATTGCCAAAAATCGCGCACGTCGAAAGCAGGGGCAGGTTGAGCTAAGTTGGTGGCGGGGGTATGAAAGAAAGTACATAACTGGTCCACGTGAATAGAGTGAGGGGTGCTAAAAATGCGAAAAGCAAAGTTTCCCTCTTGGTTGACCACACTCAGGGTAGCTAGGAACTCTCGGGTCAATAAAGGACAAGTACCAAACTTTGCACATAAAAGACGCTCCCAGTCAATGTTGGCGAATAGAGCATGAACACCATCATAAATATGGAGTTCCCGCATTAATGTGCGGCTGGGGGACCAGACCTACGGTAGAATTTCTCGTTCCTGAAGCCGTTGAAAACAATCTAAAGCAGCTTGGGAGCCTAAATCTAAGGTAACATTGTCCACTTGGACAGTGTACGACGGGTCTGCAGCGTCACCCTGTCTGCGTGAATGGGAGGGTCTAGGGGGTATTTTTCAAGTCAAAAGTGGAACAAGGTAGGAACAATTTCCAGGTAAAAAGAAGAAAAATAATCACGCAAAAATAATTATTTCTAACTACTCCTAAAGCAGACACGCAAGTCTGCACAAATATATGGCAAAAACAAAAGAGTTCATTTTCAGAACGAATATATCTGACTGTGCGCTGAGCAGCAGTATATTTTCCATGCCGGAAAATTTTTTGATGTTTGAAAATTTGTTCAGATGACTTTCTTCTGAATTGCGTCTCGAGCAAACGTTTCAACTTTTTGTGGCCTGCGGATTGCTAACGGAGCGTAGATCTGAAAAAAAAAAAAAAAAAAAAAAAAAAAAAAAAAAAAAAAAAACTCACAAAATTTCAAATTTCAAATGAACAAAATTTGGTTTTTGGAGAATTTCAACCGTGAAAACATGATTTCGTTATCGTAAATATGTTGTAGGAGCAAAACAGAAGAGATTGATACCTTATTTGCTTGATTTGGAGGAAAAATGAGCGATTTGAGTGATTTTTGGTGAGAGAACTCGAAATGTAGTGAAATCCAGAGAGAATTTTTGAAGTGTGGTGGTTACAAATGAGGCCTACGAACGATATTTATAGTAAAAACGTAACCTGCGACCGCAAAGGGAGAACCTACGATTGTAGGCTTTAAAAAATTTGACCGTTGGCGTTTTTCTCGAGGCACGTAACGGTAAAATGAAAAAAACTCGATACATGCGATCGCAGGTATAGAACCTGCGATCGCAACTTTTATTAAATATGCTTCAATCGATCGTTTAATTGTTCAAAAGTGTTCCAGGTACTAAAAGCTGATACATGTGATCACATGTACTAGACCTGTGATCGCATGTTTGCTTTTTTCATGAAAAATGTTCCAAAAAAACCTCGATGACTTCCTGCGACTAAAAAAACTCATACCCTGCGATCGACTTGCTGTAATACCCCGTTTATTTATTTAATAAATAAATAAGTTACTAAAGGAATATTAGCCTAAAATCCATAATAATTGAGCAAGGCATTGGCCTCGAGCAGTTAAAAATGTTATAATTGGAAGTTAAGGGGTTAAAATATAATTTACGGATTAGTCTGTAAAGAGTTTTGGAGGTTGAGGGTTGTTTAGTAAATTATGGGTTTATTATGAAAAGGAATTATGGAAGAATGGGCTAAATAATAAATTTTGGAGTTCATTTGAAAATAAATGTTGAGTGAGGGCCTACTTGGTAAAAATTGGACTTAATTTGTAAAGGTTTTAAGAGGTAGGGTCCAAATGGTAATTTATGGGTTCATTTTGAAAGAAAAACGAAAGGGAGGGGCTAGACTTGTCATTATGGATGTAACTTTGGGGGTTCGAGGTATATAATTCGTCACCCCTTCCAGCTTCAAACCCTAATCCTAAAGCAAGTCCCAGCCGCCACCTTATACCTCCCATCATCCGGTCGTCTGTTCCCTCAAACCACCGCAACCATTTTACTTCTGGCAATGATCAACACTATAAGGATGCCTCCGAGGCTCGGAGCGACTGTGATCGATCACTGTCCACGTCCCTTCACCTCCCTATCTTCTTCTTCCAACCACTGGACATCATTATGAAGAACGAAACCACCAGCGACCATCTCATTTGGCGGCGAGGGAGTATACTGCCACTGTTACATCGTTGTTTGACCATCGTCGTGATGAGCGCTGCTGCTACTGCGGTTCCAACATCAACTCCAACCGCTCATGTCCGTTGTTTCCTCCATCTCGCATCACCGCCGTTTTCGGATCTTGTTGCTTTGTTGTTGTCGTTCAGAAAATCGCTACATCCCGTCGACACCCTCCATTAACCACCTGCCACCATGAAATAGTGGCTGGGTTTGTGGCCTCGTGAAGCTGGGTTCGTGTTAGGGTGTTGTAGGTGTGTGTTCTAATGGTTAGGACTGCAGGAGAGTCCTTTGGCCAGAGATATCAAGAGAACCGCCATTGCCACCACCTTGAGGTGGTGGCTGCCGCCATACGCCACCGCCGGCCACCACAAGGTCGTTATGTGTGTGTATGTTTAGCTTAGTTAGCGTGTGTGTTGCTTTGGTATTTTCATTGTAAATTGTAACACAAAAATGGAATAATGCAAAGAAACTGAAAACCACCACCTTAGGGTGGTGGTCGCTACCTCCTGCCGCCACCGGCCGCCGTGTCGGGCGGCGGTGTGCTTTGCCTCATTGTGTTGACTCATTTGGGATGCTTGAAACCCTAATGGGCCTTGTAAGCCCTAATGGACTCTAATTGACCCAATAAAACCCTAATGGGCTTAATGATATTCTAGTGGGCCTAATAGGCCCAATAAAGCCCTAATTGACCTAAAAGCACAACAAATTGATAAATGGGCTAGCATTTGGGTTGGAAACCCTAATGCCAATAAAACCCTAATTTGGGGAATTAATCTGGACACGCGGGAATTATTTAATAACTTGAAATATTAAATAATAATAATTGGAAAAAATTAATCTAAGCAATATTGGACTTAATGGATTAAGTCCTTAGTGGATTAAGTCCTTAATGGGTTAAGTGGAAAACACCTAACCCTAATCATCATTTTATGTGAAAATCCTAGTTTCACTTGGGTTTATTGTTGGCCCTTTTATTGGGCCTTGATGATTGGATTATTAATGGTCCATCCAAGATCAAGCAAATGGATTAGAATAATTAATGGGCTTTGAGGTAAGGCCCATATAAGGAGTTGGGCCTAATTTGGAAAATTGGGCCATAGATGGGCCATCGTTGGGCCTTAATGACTATATGATATTGGACCCTTATATTGTCAAAGGTTGGACTAGAATAAAAGGTTGGGCCTTAAGGTAAGACCTTGTAAAGGTTTGGGGTCAATTTGGAAAATTGGGCCATGTATTGGGCTTTGACCCTTAGTTTGACTTTTAGGCCTTTAGATTGGGCCCTGTACTTGAATCAAGTCCAGGGGGGGTGTAATGTAGGATGTTACTCCAAGAACTTATGGTTATGTATTGGGACCCAATTATTAATTGGTGTTATTTTGGTGTTCACAGTTCGGGAATTTCTCATCCAGCAGTTGGGGTTGAATCTGCAGGACTTCAGCAGTGTGGGATTGAGTCTGCGGGACTTCAACAGTGTGAGGTGAGTTACCTTCCAGTAGAAGTGGGTCTAAGGCCACAATGTCTACCCACTAGTAGTAGTTGTATGATAGATGATTGTATTTGTGATAGTCATCTAGGTTTGCTACTACATGATATGTTTTATGTGTAATGATGTTATGTGATAGTAGTAGTAGGGGGAATAGTCCCCAGTTACCGGTCGATAGGGCCGAAGGGGTAGTTTAGTACCCCAGCTATGCTAGACAAATTATGGTATGTGATATGATATTATGTGGTAGTAATAGGGGTGAAATAGTCCCCAGAGTTCGGTTGTTAGGACCGATGGCTAGGTCAGCACCCCATAATGGCTTGACACGGGTATGTCAGCACCCCAAAATGGCTTGACATGGGTAGGTCAACACCCCAGAATAGTCGAACCGGGTAGGTCGGGCACCCCAGAATTGCCCGACAGTATGTATGCTATGTGATTGTATGGTATGTGGTATGATGGGGGAACTCACTAAGCTTTGTGCTTATGGTTTTCAATTTTGGTTTCAGGTACTTGTTTTTAAAGGAAAGGAGTCGGCGTGATCGCAACGCATCACACTATGGTTTTCCGCACATGAGATCTTTGTGATTACACTCTGATATTGTTTTATGATAACATATTTTGATTACTTCTATTTTGGTTTTGACATGACATAATATTATGGATGATTTATTATATTTTTGGTTTATAATAACGTAATAAAAATGATATTTTTGGCCTGTATTTTTGGGATGTTACACTTACGATCGTAGGTTCCACCAAAACTGCGTTTTTTCAACTTTTTCAAATTCTCTTTGTTCCTTTTTTATTTTAAAAACACGATTTAGTTAAAAAGGGACGACCTAAGCAGCTAAAAACACACAAAAATTAAAAAGAAGTTGCAAAATAAAATGAAACCAAACAAACACCTGAGTTGCCTCCCGGTAAGCTGCCCGTTTTTACTATCGTTGGCTCAACATTGTTACTTTGTTTTCTCAATTGCGGTAAGTCGGGACCTCAACTACCTCCACTTCTTCATTTGTAACTTGAAACCCTTCGTAAAATGGTTTGAGACGATGACCATTTACCTTAAAATCTTTCTTGTTTGTTCACTCTTAATTTGTATAACACCATGATCAAACACGTTAGTAACAACAAAAGGTCCCACCTAACGAGACCTCAATTTACCAGAAATAAGTTTGAAATGAGAGTGATATAAGAGTACCTTTTGACCGGTAGTGAATACCTTTCGCGAGATCATCTTGTCGTGAAACGCTTTCGTCTTCTCCTTATAGATTGTTTCGTTCTCGTAAGCATCATTCCTGATTTCTTCTAACTCTTGGATATCCAATCTTCTTTTCTTACCAGCTTCATCCATACTGATGTTTAACTTTTTGGTAGCCCAATATGGTCGATGCTCTAATTCAACCGGTAATCGACAAGGTTTGCCAAAAACAATTCTATATGGTGACATACTGATAGAAGTCTTGTATGCTGTCTGGTGGGCCCATAACGCATCATCCAATCGAATACTCCAATCTTTCTTGACTGGATTGATGGTTTTCTCTATAATGCCCTTGATATGTCTGTTTGAAACTTCACCATGTCTATTTGTTTTGCGGGTGATATGATGTGGATACCCGATGTGTGACACCATATTTTTTGAGGACTGCTTCGAGGGTGCGGTTATAGAAATACGTACCCTGATCACTAA